AAGAAATTCTCTACAGGATGTGCTACTGAGAAGCAAGGCAGAATGAGTTTTTAATCAGCAGTGAATGTACAAAAAATAGGTGCACAAAACGCTGAGAACTTTCCGGACAACCTAATATAAGTGATAATAAGTAAAAGCTAGGTTTCCCCTGTTCTTTCACTCCATACTACCAAAGCACTGATTTGCTAGGACTTTCCCAACAAAGGTAGTATTGGTCCGCTGGATGGAGAGGTAAGTCTGTCAGCAAGGAACAGCGCTAACATTTTAGCATCTGTTAGTTGTGGAAAGCAGAACTTGCGCCGTGGAGACTTCGGATGTGTGAAGAGCGCTGCAAAATCTTGAGTATTGAACAATTCATAAACCTGGCGTATTTTCAAAGTTCATAGCTTTTTTCCACCATCTATGTAGTCTTTGTTATTGGGAACTTTGTAACTGGTAATGACATTGGTGTCTGAAATACATAGTTGTCCTGACAGAAGTCGCTGAAACGATCTGCCACGAGATATAATCATTCGGCTTGATCAATGTCCATTGAGAGCCTAAGGTGGGGGCGGGCGTAAAGGGGGAGTGGAATTGGTTGATTCACTGGCCCTCTCAACACATCCAGAAATATGTACTTGATTTTTAGGACACATTGGCATTGATATTTGCATAATGATCTGGAATGACAACTTTCTGTTCCGCCATTATGAATGGCACATTACATTTAGTGAGCTTTGAGGTCCAGATATTATTTGTTAAAGCTAACTTGGAGGCACGGCCCACGATCACCTGTATCTGAATTCTTTGAAGGGGATTATAGTGGAAACTGACGAACAGCTCAAGACAAGTTTCGCGTCAGAAAGTTGTAAGGTAGTGGCGGTAAGGCACAAGCTTGTACAACTCCGCTAAAAACTCAATGACTCCACCCACGTTGGTAGACATCTTATCGGCTGTCTTACTCGTTTGCGTTCTCTCTCGCTCACTTTGCTAGCCTTCGGAGAACCACTTGGTTTTTTTCCTGTCTTTCGAGCGTTTTTGACTGTTACCTTTGTTTTTTTTTAAACACGAGCGAGTCAACTGGCACACAGCTTTTATCTCTGACCCCGATACCAACGAATTCATCTCTGGCATACCACGAATTGAATTTAGAAGTGAAGAAAAAAAGTGGACAAAATCTTCAAAATTACTCGAGTCAAGAATATGGCCACCTCCTTTGAGACTGTCCATCATAAAGCTCTTTTTTCTCGCGGCTCTACAGGGGAGAGGAGAAGCAGTGAATGAGCTTCAATAGAGGAGTGCGCTTAAAAGCAGACTGTACAACTACCTCATGACGGTTCTTGGCATGTACAATTCAAATGGGTCCGCACAGTAGCGTGCCCCCCTCTCGCTCAAAATGCATGGGATCGGAGGAGGCAGCCGCATTGATACCTGTCAACCTTCCCCTGACTTCGCCCGCACTATCCTCAATGTGCAGCAGTTGCATTGCAGTGGCAAGAACACAGAGGCAGGGAGCTGCCAGATGTGAGAGGGCGCAATCAAGTAGGACGTTCGGCCATGGTTCTGCGTGTGGCAGGCCGTGCCACAGCGCGGAGTGAGTCCGGAAATAATACTCGGGTATCGCTATTTTCCCAGTCCCGTGCTTTTAGAGCGAGAAAGTAGCGCGCTACTGCAGCTGCGGCTCCATTTGCCTCACACTTGGCAACAAACAGGATTTTTATAATCATCGTATTGTTACCGCCCTAGTTGTATGTATATGTATGATCCTTCAAACTGCGAGTAAAGTTTAGAATTCCCTCTATCGGAATTTCAGGCTGATCCATGCGTGGATTTCTTCGAGTTCACATGTGGGAACTGGATTAAGGCGCATCCGATCCCCAGCCACAAGACCAGCTACTCTCAATTTGGAATGCTCTCAGATAAAGTTCAAGAACAGATGAGAGGTGAAACTAGCATACTGTATACATTCGAATTTAAGTGATGTTCAATGTTCAAAATTAACTCTTCCTCCAGACGTATTTGAGTCGCCAGAGATCTTCCCTTCAAAAGCCATGAACGCCCTGAAGTCCATGTACCACAAATGTATGGACAAAAAGGAGCTAAACAGGATCGGGTCCAAGCGGTTGCTACAGACCATTAGGGTGTGTTTTCTAAAGTTTCATTGGCAGAATCTTGAAATCAGAGATTTTTTGCAGAACTACGGTGTGTGGCCTATGGTGGATGGGGACGACAAATGGCGAGTGGAAAAATTTGATTTGACTTCGTTGATGATTCACGTTAGTGAAGTGAGAGGACTCGACGTCTTCATTGCCAACTATGTCTCGCTCGACAATAAAAACGTCTCAAGAAGGCTTATCGAGGTGAGGATCTTTATCGTTGGCTTATTGGGTCCAGAATCACACATTATATTTTGTATTACGCGAGCATTTTACTGTATCGTCTGTTAGTAAAGTGGTCGTGTAATGAAGTGATTTACATGAATCTCTGTGATTCGGTTGCAGTTCGATCAAGCAGATCTCGGTCTCGGAGAATACACACGTGACTACTACTTGGACCGGGCTAAGCATGGCAAAAAAATCGAGGCATACAAGCAGTTTCTTATAGGCAAGGTTAGTGAAGTCGCTGGCAATATACTTCGTGTGTGACTCTTCTTACTTTTCTTGTGACCCTTTTTACTTCCTTGTAAACAGATTCATTCCACCAGAAGAATCTCATCGTTGCAGGTGAAACTAATTAACGAATACGCCAATCTCCCGAGTAACCTTGAAAAAATTGCGAAGGATGTAGACGAGATCATCGAATTTGAGACAAAGATTGCAAAAATCATGGTGGCTGAAGAGGATCGCAGAGACTACAGTAAAATGTACAACATCCGACGCCTTAGCGATATGCAAAAATTGACGCCCATGGTGAGTAGGATTCCTCGGAACATTGCGAAAGTATTTTCGATCAATATGTATTGTTTTCAGATTGACTGGTCTAGGTATTTCCATTCCACGGCGCCGTTTTCTGTCCATAAATATTTTACATCCGATCCCGAAATTCTGATTGTAGAAATCGATTACATGAGAAGGTGAGTGACGTTCATCAGCGAGTAATAAAAACGATTGGTGATCTCATACCTTTAGGATCACCGAGTTACTGCAGCTAACTGACCCACGGATCATCACCAACTACGTATTCATTCGATTCACCTCCTCATGGAGCGGAGAGCTCGGAGAGCGATTTGAAGATGTGGCACAGGTTGGGAATTTTCCAGACCTAATCTCCAAGCTGCCGCGGGTCAAGTGTACCTACCCAGGGCACTTCTACGTGGGGGGTTCGCAGCCTAGTCGTGCTTAGTCGCTGGAGGGAGGGATCGCACTTGCCTTTGGAAAAGATGTTCTCGCTTGTTGACTTTACCAGAGGGAACTTCAAGGGGATCGCATTTTCAAAAACCTCATCCAACGGCAGTATGTGCCCTGACCTAGCCGCATCGCGTTCAATCTAGTTGTCAACGCGAAGCAGTCAGGTGATTCCAAAACCTCGCCTTTAGGTGAGTTGGAGATGTCACCAAGTCTAATACGAGTTTTTTTTTCTGATACCATGCAGCTTTCCTTCATAGGTCGGGCTCCATAACACAGAGTGTTAGCGGGATCTTAACAAAGTGAGCGAAAATGAATTTATATCAGAGCGGTTATAAAGAGTCTAGTTGAAACCTGCTGCCCTGGCGCTTCTCAGGAACAGGCCATGTGCAAGCAACTACCAGCGGGCTTCGGAGCTACATCTAAAAAATTCAAACTCTCGTCAGCAAATAAAGGCTCAACAATCCTTCACCATTCTGGCCCGATTCCAGCAAGTTTTTCAAGAGTGGGTGAACTGACTAGGGAAAGGTCGAAGTGGCCATTTTTAATAAGATCATAAGACGTGGTTTTGGACGCTGATCTCGAATCTGGCCTCGAAATCTGCAGAACGACTCTGTGGGCGGAGTTATGGAGCTTTTTCACCCGTCTCCACCAAGCATCCTTGCTAGGCTTGTTTTTTTTTGCTTTTTGGAAGGATATGGCAAAACGTGGTTGTACCACCAGTACTACATTAGTACTCACCTAATCTTGCTTGAAAAAGAGTTTGCGCGCAATTATTACTGCAAATGGGATTTTTTGGGAAATTGAATATGAATTGGGTGCAAATATGCACGTGACGCACGATACAGACGTTTTCGCGCTAAGCGATCATCATATTCGTGCTCAACATGTCTGTCTACACCTAGATACAAGTTTCTAGCTAAACCTGGCTTCGAAAAATGAAGCATCCTTCGATTCATGTTTACCCCTATTCAGTTACAGACACTTTATCGTGTACAAAGTCTCATCTTGCCATTTCTGACGCATTCATTCTGTTGCTTCTCCAAATTTCCTGATATCGTAAAGCAACTTCTGCCTGAAGATAGCAGATTGGGCCTAGAATCACTTGCTGGTAGTAGTCGCTTAATATTAGCGCACTTTTTCGAGGTTGAATCTTTTTACATTTGGCTAGAAATCCGTCTCCAATGGTAATTGTGCTCCCTGAACACGAATATGACACCTGTTTGGCGCGAAAACGCTTGTGATTAATGCCAAATGATTTCATGTAGGACGCAGGCGCCCATTCCTGTGGAATTGCCTAGGTCACCGGTTGGATTCTTGATGTGCGGTCTATTAACGGTCAAAAGTGTTTTCTGACTTGCGAGAGGCAAACTCACAAAATGCAAAAGGAATGTCTCCCCCCCAAGAGGCCGAACCTTCGTCTTACCCCAGTGAAACAAGACTTTCACCAATGCGAAATGCCTCTGGTTGATTGGGGCTGCGCTTCGCCGTTATTCACGCATATTGGCTGCCGTGCTTGCTTCGCTCCGTTTCCCTGCATTCATATGAAGCTCAAATCCCAGAAATCGTTCTTCAAATTACGAGTGCAGATTTGGGACCAGTGTCTGGAAGCGGTCGGCTAGGTCTTATTAAAAGTGACCACTTCGGCATGGTGACCTTTTCTAGTGAGTACCGACTGAACCACCGGGCACTGAACAAATTTGGCTGAGCAGAAAGGAGTCGAGAGCAACTTGTGAAGTATGCACAAAAAGCAGGGATGAAGCGGTAATCACGAGTGGGCAGTGCACTGCTCTTCTCACAGGTAAAAGAAAGTTCTGAAGACGGTCTCTGACTGCGTTGCGTTCAACATGTTATGGCGTATTTGTAGCTCAAAGTGTCTAAAAAATGTGCCCGCGGCTGAACTCTGTTAACCATAACCTCCGAAAGTAATAGATTGCAAATAGCATTTAAAAGACGAAATCAATGCGAAAAAGTTCTTCAGAACAGGCATTAAGGCAACCTCACAAAACGAATTCGCTAAGGGTTCAGGATGAACAAGCTAGATTAGATTGGAGATTGACCAGACTGAAATGAAAGCAGAAAGAAAACATGATGGCGAGGTTGAGTCAAACAAGGAAGATACAGCTGGCGAGACAAACAATAGCAGACATAAAAATGGAACGATAGAAAGTGAAGGGGACAAGTGATACAACAGGCAAGGGAACTGACATAAATAACGACATAGGCACACAGAGGAAAGAATGTTGAAAAAAAATATCATACCGATACTTTAGCTCTGACTCTGCAGAAGAGATGGCTGCGTGCATGATAGAGTGTAGGAACTTTAGCTCTGACTCTGCAGAAGAGATGGCTGCGTGCATGATAGAGTGTAGGAAAATGTGCTCATTCTGTTGCACTCTATGCCACCGTGAATGAATAGTTATCTGTAAGCACCCAAGGTACCTTCAAGGGAGTCAAATCCCTTTGCGGATTAGTCTAAACTCTGTACCTCAATTATACCGATAAGGAAGAGAAGGAAGGCCTTGAGGGCTCGTTCATCGAATGCGATCGCATCACTTAAACAGCAGCTGTCGAGCAGCACAATGGTGGCTACCGACTGACCGTGGGTTAACCATCACCACTAATAACCTCCTAAGAAAGCTAAAAAGGAACTTCTCATGATGCATATCGTAAGGGTTACCTTTGTTGTCATGGTCATCACAACCATTCCCCAATTTGCTTCCTACAAGAACACTTCCTTACTGCCTTCTGCATTTGTGCTACACACAATTTCAAGAGTGTCCAGTTTCTTTTCCTTACTCTATTAACGAAACAAATGAGCTTTTTCAATTTCTGTCTCATGTTGTTAACTTCAAGGATTTTCATCGTTTGATGTATGGAAAGAAGCAAAGAGCTCCCAGGTGGAAGGAGTGTACGTCTTACACTATGCACAGAATGCAGTATGCAGCTGGAGCAATTTACGTGAGCAAGATGTTCGACCAGGTTCGTCCTCTAAGCGGCTAATGTAGTTCATGTGGCGCATGGCTATAAATCTGTTCCAGGCGTCAAAAAATGTAACGCTCGACATGGTGAAAGATTTGCAACAAGCGTTCCACGAAATGCTTGTCGAGAATGACTGGATGGACAACACAACAAAAGAGGTAAATATCGAGTTCAAAAATACTAAAATATCTTGGTGATCCGATCCCGCTTCAGACTGCCTTCGAAAAAGCAAAGGCAATGCTCACTCAAATTGCTTATCCAGAGTTCATTCTTGACAGCAAAAAACTGGACAAACACTATGACGACGTGAGTGATTACTGTTCGCCTACTCCACTTTAGAGCCCACTTTGGGCAGATTGGTGAAGGAAAATATGGAAGTGTCTCGTTCATTTACACAGTTGTGTTGTATTTGGGCTACAAATTGTCAGTGCTGCTTTCAGTTCTCCGTGGAAGAAACGGAATCGTACAGTCAGATGATAGAAAAACTTTCACGATGGAATATTGAATATGGCTTCAAACGCCTTACCAAACCCGTCGATCGAACTGAGTTTAACTTCAATGCTGCAGTAGTCAACGCTTACTACTCCTCGAATTTCAATGCAATAAGTGTGTACTTTATATTGCTACAAGAAGTCCTGATTAGGCGACTGTCAGAAATACACCTCTAACTATATCATATTGCAGAATTCCCAGCAGCTATTCTGCAGGCGCCGTTCTTCCATCACACTTTTCCACGGTAAGCACCTGAAGGGAGACTCCATGCTTCACCAGTTCGTGTGATTCCTTCCTTGCCCAAGTAGTCCGGTGCTTAATCGCGATGACTGTCCCACTTTCATGGCTTCAGTGAGAGACAACGGCGCCGTTGCATCACTATTAGCGGTAATATGCGCTATACCGTAGCGCACATCCCGTATATGCTATACCGTGCCCTATACTGTATATAACGGCAATCGTACTGGACTACTTGGGCAAGCAAGGAGTCCTACGAATTTACTGAGTGCGCCTCTGTCTTCGAAGAGAAAATACCACTCTCCGGGGCAAGGGACAATTGAGAATTTTACAGAGCGCTCAACTACGGTGGAATTGGAGCTGTGATTGGGCACGAAATCACACATGGATTTGATGATCAAGGTACGGTAGTGGTGGCCGGCTTATTTGTTTGCTTAATCCCGCTTGCGAATGGGTTACGCCTTGATGTGGGTGGGAAATCAATAGTTTGAAAGGTCCCTTACTCCTGAGAAAAATTCAGAGTTCGTGTTTATTGCTTATCTAGAGCTACTCCGATGGAATTTATCTGCATTTTTAAAATCTTTTCAATTCACATATAATTCTCGTCCACAATTTATACATGGTCGCCGTCAACACCAGTGATATTTTTCCCCGATAAAAAGTCGGTGAAAAATGCCGCTTTCACTTCCGCTTGATTAAACTGATTTCTTTTCCGAATTTTTCTTCTCTTAGTGTCGGCGAAAGGGAAATCGTTGTCGAACCTGCAAAACGGCAAACTCTTGAAAAAAAAGAGCTGACCAAAGCTCAATTGACCGAGTGCGCGTGATCTGAGACGAATTCTTTATGACCTTATCCTCAATGATGTTGAAATTCACCTCCTACACAATAAAGTTGGTATTCACCTCGTCCTCAATTATGTTGAAGTGGAGAATCTTGAAAGATGTAAAGCTTTGTACAATCCTCGCTACTTTTCGACCAAAGGCTGTGTATTTCGTACTAGTTTCGAATATCTATATTGCGAAAGATTACGATTTGGAGGAAAGGAGGAAGACCCCACAAGAGTGCTGAGTTGTCGGCAAAAGTCGGACCAGGGGCGGGTCTCAAACCCCCATCTCGCGCCTTCAGTGCGATTGCGTTCTTTACCGGGACCACTCTTACCCTCTCAGCTCAACGGCCATTGAGCACTCTCATGTTCAACGTGATGGCCGGTCAGCCACGGCGGAAAAAGACATCTTCTCCCAAGAAGCCAGATTCCCACCTGATGTTTCTGTGTGAAGCTTCATCGAAAAGGAGCGAAGAAAGAGGAAAGTCTTCACTTAGGACATTTTTCAAATTCACTAGTGCATGAACCGAGGCGGGATGTCGATGGACGCCGTGCCGTGGCTTCCCCTCGAATTCCTAATTGTGCATGTACCTTGCCGGTAAAATTTATTGCTCGGGATTTATTGGAGTAGATACAATAGATGGTTTGTCGGAGAAGCACACAATTTCAGATGGAGAGCATTTTGTGCAAGCCCATACTTTCTGGCTAACCTTTATATGGAACCTGTAATATTTATCTTGGTTACCTTAATTAGTTATATTCCTTCATATGAATCCGTACTGTGCCCATCTCTTCTGAGCTTCAGGTCAGCAGTTCGATGCGATTGGTAACCTACGCGACTGGTGGGACGCAGATGTCAAGAAAAAGTTTGTGGAGCGAGCAAAGTGTATAATCGGTCAATACAATAAAATTGAAGTTAGTTTTGGTCAAGGTGGTAAAGCGATAAGCAGTTAATTGAGCTGGAATAAACTTTCACAGGTACCAGGTACTGGCTTGACTGTCAATGGCAAACTTACCCAAGGCGAAAATATTGCCGACAATGGAGGAGTGAAGCAAGCATTCAGAGTGAAGTTACTCGTCTGCACACCGTCCTGATATTCTTTGTGAAGAATCTCCCTTGTAAAAACTCTCCTTCCTTCCTTCAGTTCTCCTTCCTCCTCCAGAGCCTCCAGTGGCAGATGAACCGTGGTAATCATTGCTCACGAAAGGGAGCCAAGGTTTCACATTTGTGCGATAGAAGGCCATCAAGGTGTCTCCTTGATCACAAAGCCCCGTAGAGCGGTTCGCGAAAAAAAAACAGAGCCTTCGCATTTGGCAATGTGCCGAAGCCCTTCTCAGACCAGAAGGCGCAGACCACAGGGGCAGAAAATGTCCCACATATTCGGCTCGGAATTGCTTAGAAGGAAGGGCGACCGCGCGACCGAGGCGCTGCCGTCGCGAAGTCTGAACGCTGCCTGACCGCATCAGAACTCTGCCATGCTCTATTTTCTTCGCCTCTCTCTTTTTGGTTCCCACAATCTCCATTTTCTTCCACAATCACTGTGTGCAGTCTCCATAAGTTGTGTATTCTCTTGCAATTCCGTAGTCTGTTGCTCTTTTGCGCGCGTAGTGTCACTTTCCTGTATCTATTATCTTACAAGGCTTAAAATCAGCGGTGTATTATGTACGGTATTTCCCATGGTTTTCGTATTTGAAGCCCACAACTACAATAGCAGCCTTGGGCTTGCTCATTTGGTCAATTTTTTCATGCCAGTATCTGATTCAGGCCTATAAAAAACATTTGGAGAAACACGGAGAGGAGAAGCGCATTGAAGGTCTAGAAGAGTACAACAATGAGCAACTGTTCTTCATGGGATACGCAACGGTAGTGTCTTATAACACCTACCGTTTGTTGTAAATGCCCAAGTGTTCGTGCTTTACAGACCTGGTGCGGTCATCTAACGCAAGATGCCCTTATAAACCTCATTCTCACCGATCCTCACTCTCCAGAACGATATCGGTAAGTTTTTTACATCTGCATAAGGTGAGTAACCTGTAAATGCGTCAGCACAGTCCAGGGCAATATTACCTATATTTTGGTGACATCAACATCCACAAACCATTCACAAACCAGTTATGCTGCTTCTGCTACCTGTTTCTATTGCAATTATGACCATTGGGCAAATATTATTGGCTTTGAAATTGGTTTCTTTCTTTACAAAATCCTTCACTTGTACGACAAGCGCTCTGAAACGGCAAGGCAGGAATTCTCAATTCTGTTCCAAGACTAGAAGGTGTTGTTTCAACAGAATCCAAATTTGGACGTCTTGTAGTGCAGGCATTTACTCTCAAGATGGCGTGTAATCAAAAGTACCTTGAGCTGCAAAGCTGGGCCGTGTCAAGAACGAGGCATGCCAGCGTTTGCAAGCGAGGCGACTGATCTAATGTAGATCATTAACATGGAGAAGAGCAAACAAAATCACGCAAAGTGAGTAAAAACATTCTCGGCTCTTAGGCAAAAGTGGCTGTCACTGTGAAGCCTGTTGCTTGCCTTCCCTCCTGCATCGGCATCATACCGGTCCGGGGACTTCCAATTCGCAACATCGGGGCAGTCGAACAGGGTCGATGCGGAGCCGGCGCCATATTGAATGAGGTTGGGTCTTGATGCTTCGTGGTTTCGCCGCGACTGAAGTAGCGCTCTACGCTCAATTACTCCGGTGAGCGTGATAAGCTGAAGGACGCGAGAAACTCATTGCTAGTAATATTCAAAAAGCAACCGGGCTTTTGCACTATTATGCCACAATGCTCATTGGATATAAGTATCGACTGAACAAAAGACACTCATTGAACTTCTTACATAAAATATTTGCAATTGATCACATTAACGACTATAACACTCATAATATTCAACTTAGTTCCTGTTGTACAGTAAAACTCTTGTTGACCCTATACTGTGCAGCAGAATGTATACAGTAAAGGGATCTCACACGAGTCACGTGGAATTCGGTTAATGAAACTTCAGTTTAACCACAATCAAAATGTTATTATCAAAGAAAATAAGTTGCGTACCTCGGTGCAATTCACTCTGTCCTTCATGGTAGCCATATATGCACAATAACTAGTATATAACAATAATATACTTTTTTAATCACATCGATTTGATACAAATTAAACGAATGCGTAGTAACAAGAGAAGAAGTGGTGTAACGGATATTTGAGATTGTGAAACATGAATTTACCATTCAACTTCCATGTGGATTACACAAAGCATCCCTTCCTCCAACATAGTAGCCTTTTGGGCTTTTTTTTCATCACTCACAGGATCTTTAGGATTTGTGTGATTGCGGACACAACTTTGAGTGCGGCTCGGCACTAAATACGGCGAAAGTCATTACTAGGTCAATGTTGACTGTCTATTACTGGCTTTTTTTGCGATTTTTTCCAGCTATCCTTAATTAGGGCAGATAATATCGATAAATCGCTTCCACCAAATAGCCTCCCTCAAACCATTACCCATTCTGAATGTAAGCATTAATTGTGATACATTGATGAAATCGCGGAAAGGTCACCTAATTCACGAAATTCTCACACTTTCCTATACCCACCCCAGATTCGCTCTTTCGTTTCTCAGCTACGCTAATTTCACAAGTTTTTTATTCATGCCTGTACTTCGATTCATATTATATTCACACCCTTCTCACTTCTTACTGAAGAATACAGAGGGATGATACGTTCTGTCGTTTAGTTTCCGTATAGTGGCTCGTGCAACGTAAACTGAAGTATTCTTGCAACCCCTATACACATTTTAGCGTATTAGTTTTGATTATTTTTACATTTTTTCGTTGTAATGACATCTCCCCAACAAAAGTCCGCGAAAAACTTACGACGCACTCAGGAAAAAAATAAAAAAATATCCGCTGGTATTCAGCATTCATTTCACTGATATCAACATAGTGAGGTTGCGAAACCCTGCAGTACTGTGCTCCATCTCACTTTCACGGCTGTCATTCTTTCAGGGTTAATCAGGTGCTCGCCAATCAGCCAGAGTTTGCAGCTGCTTTCAAATGTGCAGTTGGCACTCCAATGAATCCTACAGAACGCTGTGCTGTTTGGTAAATGAAATCACGGGAAAATCACTGCACTTCATTACATATCATAATTGAGTTTGGCTAAACTTGTTTCTATTTATTTGTACAGTGATGTTTGTTTCTTTCTATGACAGAATAGGCTATGAAATTGAAGAACTGTTTCTGATAGTGTTACTAGAATAAATTCGCCTCTACTTTTAGAGAGGAAACGGACTGTGCTCCGTTATATTGCCTTACTACAGTCCATTTCCTCCACACTGCGAGTGACTACGGACCTGGAATTGCACGCGGTGGTAGCAGCTAGTTGTCGCTTAGGGTAGGGAGGGGTGATAGGTGCTTGGCATCTTATTGTAAAGCCTTTTTTCTTTTATGCACGCTGTCTACGCTGTTCTGGAACGGCGAGTGTCTACATCAGCCGCGTTCACAATTCATAAGACCCCCTCCATCCAACACTAAGATA